GGGGGGTCCTGCAGATTTTAGCTCCAACTTGCCTCAAAACATCTGAACATATGTTTCTAGAAAGCCTAGTAAGAGCTTGAATAGCTATCCCAGTTGTGTCTGATTGGGGTTAGAACTACACTTTGCAGGACACCGGCTCTCCTGGAACAAATCTGGGCACCCCTGATCTATACAGATACATATAGATTTGTAGTTTGCAACTGAAGCTTTCAGATGATTATAAAATATTCCATATATTATTTTACTTTTTGTCTTTATTTTGGTGATCAAAAGGGCATCTATATCTGTCAAATGGACTTCAAAGTTTGGACATCAAATTGATTATTTTAGTTGGATTCTGGTGTTGTTTTGACACCAAGGTGCACACTGGAAATCATTTGGCAGCACTTATCATGACTTCTACAAATAGTTGTAGTAATCTACAAGTAATTCTACAAATAACCTAATATACCAACTCTGTGTTCAAGCTCACCTTAATCTCTGGTTTGGCTTCCGGCGGCTCGACCGTCTTCTGCTTGCTCTGAAGCTGTTTTCTCCTTTCCATCCGCATGGCTTTTTTCTGAAAGTCCTCGTTGTGGTTCGTGAGATGGATGCTGAGTTCTGGAAGAGTCAGGAACTTGATTTCACAGTGTGTGCATTGGTAGAGCTCAGTGCCATCTTCTACAGGGCTCGGGACGGTGACGAAATCCCGCTTCAGTTCCTTGTCGTGACAGTCGTTGTAATGCATCACCAGCAGCTCCTCCGCATTAAACGAGAGTTTGAAGCATTTCAGACATTTAAAGGGCAGCCAGTCGACCTCTCCTTCAGGCTCCACCTCATCCTTCACTTCAACTATCTCCACGTTCTCCACTATAGGAGATTCTTCCGCGTCCTTGGGGTAGATCATAGTGAAGTATCGGCCCAGTTTGCTGGCGGCCTGCTTTTTTGGAAAGACTCCTGGGTGGCGCTTTATGTAATGAGAAACTATACTCTTCCTGCTGAAAGCCTGGAAGGAGCAAAGCGAACATTTCCTTCGGTCCACCGCTTGCCGTAACTCCTCGCTCATCCCCGAAGAATCGGCTTCTGACGCCAGGGGCAACATCACTTTATTTGGTTTCTCAGTCACAGTCTTGGAAGCTGCCAAGCAATGTGTGTAGTATGCATCAATGTCGTGGCGTTTTTGGTAGTGTGCCGCGAGGCCTTTGCGGATGGGGTTGGTGTAAGAGCAGAGAGCGCATTTAAAGACGTTATTCTTCCCTTCTGGCTGTGCTCGGACATTATTATGCTTGATACGGTAGTGGCGGGCAATGCCCTTCCTGGTGGAGCAGAAGTATTTGCACAGCTGACATTTAAACACTGCATGCTTATCGCTTTTTGCGACTTCGGAAATTGGTACGTTATAGTCACACACCTCCGGAACTTCGGGTTGACTGCTAGTGCTGCATTCGGCCACTAAATCATCCCTTCCAGTTGGCGACTGTATGTTACTTGCTTTAAACATGTGTGCAGCAGGCTGATTATGGTATTTCTCATAGTGTATTTTGAGTTTTTCTAAAGTGCCATGTGTGTAAGGACACATCTTGCAGCGGTATGCGCCGTAGCCTTGCCTCTGGGTTTTAGATCGCTCTTCGTTCTCACTCGACACCTCGTTTACTTGCTCAACATCATCAACAAAGTCTTCAGCGGTGACTTTAATTGATGGATGGCGTTTTTGATAGTGTGTGAGAACCCCGTGTATTCGGGAGTTCACATACGGACAATGTCTGCACTTGTAAACCGAGCTAGGGTTGATGTCCGCTTCCTGAGCAAAGTCAGCAGCTTTCACTTTCATGCCTGGGTGTTTCTTGCCGTAGTGGGTCAGAAGTCCATGAAGACTATTGTACTCAGACAAGCAGACGGTGCACTGGTAAGGGTTGTTTGAGATCGACGAGGTGGCAGACAGAGATAGATTTGGCTGCCGATCTAGAGGTGGCCGATTCATTTCAACTGCAACATCTTCCTGATGGTGACTATTGAACGGACTGGACATCGAAGCATGTGCTTTGGTTTGTTGTGGGAGCTGCTTATCTGGTGCTTTGTTTCCTTTGATAATGTCGATGAGAACAGACTCGTCACCTTTGATGGCCCAAGGGTGCACTGCTTGATAATGGTTAGTAATGTCCCAAATGGAGCATGCCTCAAAGGCGCAATCTCTACACTGATAATGCTTTGTTTCAGAATTCCCAGCTTGCCTGCTTGTGGAAGAATCAGGACCAGCCCACAGCTTGCTGGCCATGTACGTGTAGTCCACATTGTGCTCAGGGTGGCGTCTTTGGTAATGCATGAGCAGCCCACTTGGTTCAGCGTGGGAATAGATGCACCACTCACAGTGATAACCAGCCTCCAGCACGCCGTCCTGATAAGCCCAGTGTAAGATAGTCATAGCTGTGGCCTTCACAGTAGGATGATCCTTCTTTAGATGCTTCTTCAAGGCATACACATAAGGAGAAGTGTATGGACAGTGTCTACACTTCAAAGATCGCAACGACCTGGATTTTTCAGCTTCAGTAGCTACAGTAGAAGTGGATGTAGAACTTCCCGATTGGATCATCTGCGCTCGCTCTCTCTGACTCTGGACCACAGCGGTGTGTCTACGAACGAGGTCTGCATTGGCCTTCACGTCTCTATGTTTCTTCTGGTAGTGAATCAACACCCCCTTCACAGTGCGGTTCCCGTAGTCGCAGTGCTGACAGAAAAACAGCATTTCTGGTTCCCCCTTGTCGGATGCTCCTTTAGTGTTGGAATTACCAGACCCTTCAATGCCGTTGTTGCTAAACTGCTTCAGAAATTGTTTAGGCGGGGCGATTTGTAGCTCATCCATGAGTTTCAGCAGTCCAGGGGTTGGAGGTGCCTGTTTTATGTACTTTGCTGTTACTTTAATCTCCGGATGTCTCTTTTGGTAGTGGACCAGAACGCCCACGACAGAGCGGTTGTTGTAGACACAGTGTTTGCAGTAGTAAACATCCTCATCCAGAGGCACAGGCAGGATGGGGTTTGAAGACTTAGGAGTGCTGGTCAGGCTGTAGGTTGAATTGCTGGCCATCTGTGCTCGCTCGACAGAAATGACCCGCATGGTCTTCTGTATGCGGAAGTATGAGGCCTTTTGCTCGGGATGCTTCTTTTGATAATGGACCAGTACTGAGTGCATGTTGGGACTTGAGAACGAACAGACATCACAGTCATACACCACCACATTGCCCCCCAGGCTTTCTCGAAGTGTTTCAACCTCTGCATTTGCTTCTGGCGTTTTGGAAATGCTTTTGAGAGCAGGGCTGGATGACGATCTGGACCCAGATGAGGTGGAGCTAAAACTCTTTGGGCCAGAATTCAAGATTTCTCTCAGTGTTTGCGACTCAGTCGCACCCTTATGAGGCTGATCGACCATATAGCTTGAGAAGATCATAGCATTGTTGATCTTCACCGAAGGGTGCATCCTTTGATAATGGGGCATCAGGCTACGCACATTTGGACTTGTGTAGGAACAAAAACGACACATATACACAAGATCTGGCTGGTTAAAGTTTAAGACGTTGCTTGCTTCTGGATGATGGGTCATATAGTGCTGGTGCAGATCATTAAAGTTGTTATATTCAATGAAGCACTCGAGACAACGGAAGACTGCGCTCTGATCCTCTGGGTCCAGGATGTATCTGAAGCTAAACTTGATGTACGGGTGCATCCTCTGGTAGTGTGTGCTGACGCTGCGAGCAGACTTGTTTTGGTACTCGCAGTGTTTGCAGTAGAACAGGTTCCCAGGTTCCGCAGTGTATTCAACATTCTCCTGGTGCATTTCTCTGCCATCTTGACTGCTTTGATCTTGAGCATGTTTAGACTCCAAGGAGCCACTGTAACTGTCTTCATCATCAGAAATGGTTAATTGAACTGGAAGGTTTCTTGAGCTGAGTTTAGACTGCAGGCTTCGCTTTCTTTTCCCAACACCACGTTCTGTTGGAAGACCTCCAGAATTCCTACCATGAAGGTGCTGAGTGTTGAACATGTAGTGCTGGCTTCGAGCATTAGACGAATCTCTGTCTTTGCTTGCTTCTGCATCAATGTGATTGCCATTCTCCTCAACATCATCATCCATCTCCTCGAGGTTGATCACATCCTCATGCTGCTGGCTTTGACTAATCTTGCTCTGGAGATTATTTGCAATTTCATCAATCCTTGTCCGTTTTTTGACGGGAGAGAGATCTAAGGGCAAATCGTTTATGGACTTTCTTGCAGTCTTCCCAATAAGGTGCTTCTTGGTTGAAAATCCAAGAATTGAGGTTTGAGTTTTTTGTACAAAGCTTGAGGAACCACAAGACTCGGATTCAGAATCTTGCTGCTCAGTGGATAAACCCTCTTGGCCAGGGACTTGTGTTCCATCACAGTATGAGTGTTTGTGTTGCTGGTGGACACGTAGACCTTTGAGTGTGATGGTGGAGAAGTTGCACAGTGAGCACCGGTGAGGACCCTGTTGCTCCTCCCCTCCACTGGACTTTTTCCCATTGATTTTGGAGCTGCCGTTTCCTCCATTCACCGGCTCGGAGCATTCGGCTTGACCTTCAGGACTTCCACTAGTCAGGTCCATGGTGTCCCATTCGGAAGACCCACTGTGACATTGCTTGTGCGCGTCAAGTTTCAGTGGGTTGGTGCAAAGAAAGGGGCATGAATCGCATTTATACACCGTGGCTTTGCCAGATAGATGTATGTTTTCTATGTGACGGGAAATACTACGCCGGTGCATGGTCAAAAAGGAGCAGAAAGGGCACTGGAACCGGTTCATGTGTCTTCTGAATGGAACTCCTTTTGTTTCAAGCAAGTCATTATCCTCCTCAGACAGAAGCAGCTTAGCTGAATCCTTAGCCGACTCTGTGTTATTAGCGTCATCCATGTCACAGAGTTCATCATCTGAACTGCTTCTGGAATCATTCAGCACACTGGCATCGAGATCCATGCCAGACCTGGATATGTCTGACATGGCGAAAGTCGATCTCTCTGACAGTATGGAAGATCCTGTGCTGTTAGGTATTTTTGATGTGAGCTGTGAGTACTGAAAACTTGATATCCCTGAACTGGCCTTAAGTGATGCGTTGCCAGATCCTTTAACTGAAGAGGCATTTGCTGAAGAACTTTCATTGCCCGCTATATCATTCAGGTTTAAATTGGAGGTTGGAGTGCTTCTCCTGGACGAAGCGGAGTCTGATTTGCTGGATCCTGCACTTCCATCTTGCACTTTAGGTTGCTGCAAAGACACCATGATCTTCACCATGTTACGGTGTTTCTTCATCATGTGATCAGCTAGCTGCTGCCTTTGTGAAGTCTGAAAGCCACACCATTCACAGTTAAAGCCTCCTTTTGATTGGGGTTTAATCATAGACTCCAGTACATGCCGTTCTACATCCCCTGGTGAATCTTCACTTAGTTCCTCAATTGAGGAGACATCAGAGTCCAAATCCAGAACCTCCGCGTCAGCAGGGGGAGCTGAGAGGCCTGTAGGAGCTTCTTTATGATGCACCTTCTGGTGTTTCAGAATCCGTGCTCTGTGTGGGGATTTATACGTGCAATATTGGCAGGAAAAGACTGTTCCTACTGCATTGTGCATTGAAGAGCTGGCCTGCTTGGGAGTTTTGAGGGATCTTTCATCGCCTGCTTCACCATGAACCTTCCTGGTGTGCTCACTAAGAAGAGAGCTGGATCTGAAGTAGCGCACGCAGAACTTGCACTGAAAAAACGGAGCTGTGGTTTTGTTTGAAGGTTTTGCTGACGGGTTGTGTTTGGCTTGCTTTGAACCGGAGAAGTGCCCAAAGTCTTTGTTAAAGGAGGAGACACCTGAAACATAAACAGACAAAGAAAAATGTTGAGTGCTTCAATTTCACACAAGAATGAAGTGCAACATGACTTTCTTCTGATGTAGTTTCTGTACTTTCAGAGTGTTAAAACTGTGTCCTAACAACAGACGATGCTGCAACATGCAATGAAAGGCATCTTATAATATTATTAACATATTATTATTATTGCAGATACAGATCAGTGCACACTATTTTCCAGACACCCCCCCACCCCACCCCACATCTAATTTCAACGTCTTTAAAAGGGGATAAAGCAATATATAGGGTAGTCAAACCATAACCAACCCCCACCCCCCAGTAATTGTAACCCTGACTTTAATAAACATAGTGGTAACCTGTTTCCTCCTTCAGTGGGTCTCTCTCCTGGTTGGTGGAGTCCTCCTCATCCTCAGTTTGGCTCAGTGATGTGGATCTGGAGCGTTTCGGGGTCTCGTCTCCGTCTCCGTCTTGCACCTCTGCGGGCTGCAGGAAGGCAGTGTGGATGTCCCGGATGTGAGCCTTCAGCTCCTCATACGACTCTGCACGAAAATCACAGCCATCGCACTGCAGCCCTTCCATCGCTCAACACTCCCTGGAGAATCAGGGAAACCTGGAGAGAGAGAGAGACCGCTGGATGAGTACAAGTATAAAGTGAATACTAATGTCTAAAGTCTTAATGAAACGTCAGCACAAAATAGAAGTTAAGATTGTTCTTTTTTCCTCTATTGTAACGTACGTCCACTTGAAAAAGATTTGGAAATTAGAAAAAAATGTATCAGAAATCGAGAAAAATTGACAAACAGATCAAACAGAGCAGAAATGAGACACGCCCTTATAGCCCGCCCTAAAGGACTGATTGCACCATACTACAGTCCAGATAGCTCCACCCTAAAAGACTGATAAGACCAGCCTACAGGACTGAAAGCTCCGCCCTAAAGGTCTGATAGCACCAACCTTCAGGTCTGATAGCTCCACCCCATAGGACTGAGTGCACCGCCCCTAAAGGACTGATAGCTACGCCCCCTAAAGGATTGATATATCTACACCCTAAACGACTGATTGTAATGCCCTACAGAACTGATAGTTCCACCCTAAAAGATTGATAGCTTCGCCCTCTACAGAAATAATAGCTCCGCCCCCTGAAAGACTGATAGCACCACCCTACAGGACTGATAGCACTGCCCTTCAGGACTGATAGCTCCATCATAAAAGACTGATAGCATCACCCTTCAGGACTGATAGCTCCACTTCATAGGACTGAGTGCACCGCATAGCTCTGCCCATAGCACCTGATAGCTCCGCCCTAAATGACTGATAGCTCCACCCTAAAGATGGATATCTCCGTCCCAAAGGACTGATAGCTCTGTCCTAAAGGACTGATAGCTCCGCACCCTAAGACTGATAGCACCACCCTACAGGACTGATAGCACCACCCTACAGGACTGCTAGCTTCACCCTATAGGACTGATTGCAACGCCATAAAAAACTGACTGCTCACCCCTAAAGGACTGATTGCACCACCCTACAGTACTGATAGCTCCGCCCTAAATGTCTGATAACTCCACCTGAAAAGACTGATTCCTCCACCCCTAAAGGATTGATAGCTCCACCCCCTAAAAGACTGATAGTTCTGCCCCCTAAAGGACTGATTGCACCACCCTACATGACTGATAGTTCCTCCTCTAAAGGACTGATAGCCCCGCCCATAAAGAACTAATAGCCCCGCCTTCTAAATGACTAATTGCTCCGCTCAATGAGTAATAGCTTTACCCCTAAATGACTGATAGCTCCACCCTAAAGGACTGATAGCTACTAAAGGACAGAGCTCCCAAAGGACTGATAGTTCCTAAAGACCTGATAGTTCCCAAAGACCTGATAGTTCCTAATTGACTGACAACGCCACCATAAGTGAATGATAGCCAAATAAAGTAAATTAAACAACTAAAATGTTCTATAAAAAACAAACAAAAATCATAATAAACAAAAGTAAATTAATTTAAATAAATAATAAAAAACTACTTAAAATTCAATTTATTCAAATAAATTTAGGCGTCCCCTATAAGAAACAACTGTAGTCCGAACAGTGGGGTCTAGAAAGTGCACTTCGCTATGAAGCATTTCCCGGAAAGACAAAAGCCGTCTGAAATTGGGACACAGCGGAAGAATCTCAGTCTGTATTTCGGTGCAGTGGTCAGTCTGCTTGAGGAACAATAGCTGAGGAGGGATTATGGGCTGATTTGTTCCATTTTTTGATGCGGTGGGGATAAGCCTGGTCTGAAGCACACACACACCCGCGGGCCGGGCCGGTATTTACATCCGCATGTTCATCAGATTGCATCGAGTTCTTCTGAAATAAGATTGAGTGAATCCGCCGAGGGATGAGGAGCGCTCGGAGATGCTGGATTATGGGATGTGTGGCATTATTATATCTGTGACCCGAGAACAGCCGAGAGCAGCCGTGCCAATCAATCAGCTGAAACACAGGACCATTCGCTCCCTGATCAATACTTTTTCATTAATACACACACACGCAGGCACGCACACACAGACAGCTGCCAAAAACTCATGCTCAATCACTGTTGCATTTATTGGGAACATTGCAATATTTCAGAAAACAATAGAAATGTTTTGATGAAAATCTGCAGCAGAATTGAATAAGTGAATGAATTAATGAATAACTGACTGAATAATTAATGGAAAATTGAATGAATGTGTAATTAAATGAATAATTGAATTAACAAATGAATAATTGAATGTACAATTGATTGAATAAATGAATTAATCAATAAATTAATGTATAATTGAATGAACAGATAATTGATAATTGAATGTATAATTGAAAAAATGAATGTATAACTGACTGAATGAATAATTAAATAAATGAATGAATGAAAATTGGAGAATTAATAACTGAATAAATTAATGAAGGACCATATAATTGAATAAACAAATAATTGACCAAATTTATGACCGAATGTATAATTGAATGAATGAATGATTGAATAAATTAATGAATGTATAATTGATTAAATCAATTAATGAATGTATAACACAATAAATAATTGAATAAATTAATGAATGCAAAATTGAATAACCGAAAATTGGAATAAACAAATAATTGAATAAATTAATTAATGAATGTATAATTGAATGAATACATGAATGAATGTATAATTGAATTAATAAATTAATGAATGTGAACTCAATGAATAATTTAATAAATTAATGAATGCAAAATTGAATGAACAAAAAAATGAATAAATTAATGAATGAATGTATAATTGAAAGAATGACTGAATAAATTAATGAATGCAAAATTGAATGAACAAATAATTTAATGAATGAAATTGAATGAATAATCTTTTAAATTAATGAATGTATAATTGAACAAATGATTTATTAAATGACTGAATAATTGAATGAATGAATGCTTTAAAAATTGGTATTTTTAAATTCTTTTTCATTAATTCACAGTCACACAAACGAATGGACAAATGAATAATTCATTGAATAAATAAATAATTGAATGAATTAATGAATAAACAATTGAATAAGAATGAATGAATGATTAAATAATCGAATGAATAAGAGAAAAAATGAATAAATAATTGAATGAATGAATGATCAAATTAATGACTTCATAAATTCACAATTAAACAATTGACTGAATAAATAAATTACTAAAAGACAGAATGAATGAATGAATGAATGAATGAATGAATGCTTTAAATATTGGTATCTCTTTAAAATATTTTAGAAAAGGGCTCCAGACTTTCTAAAGCTATTCTGGTAAATTTAAATCATATACTCGTATTATATAAATACAGTTCACAGTACACCCCTTTTTGAAAATCAATATATTTTTATCAATTTATCAATGGCATAAAGGCAATATATTGTGGTGCATTTAAACAGAACTGCTTTATTAAACAGATAAATGAATTAAATTAGAAGTTTGGTCACCGAACATCTTTAGGAATAGAAAGAGAATACATTTAAACTTATATAAAAAATAAAATAACTACTAAATTTCAACTAAATCGTCTGTTTAATGTTGTGTCTTGATATTTCCTTTCTATTACAATTGTAATTAATATTTTCCCCCTGACATGTTTGTGTGTAGTGTGTGATCTTCAGTTTTTGACTGTGAGGCATCCTGTAGAGAATATTAATGTAAAAGGGAGATGTGTGATGGGTCAACTCGTATATAATAAACCTGGCGCAGTGCCAAGTCTCATATCTTTCTCCTTTCTCTCTATATAAAAGCAGCTCTTCATGCACTGAGTGTGAACCTGCTTTTCTTTCCTCGGTTTATTCTCCATCTGATCTGTGTGGCAAGGACAGAAATGTGAGTGATTATAGCAGCAGATCTGACAGAAATCAACAACACAGATGCTTCATTCATCAGGACTCACAGGTTCTGTGGCTGATTTCTGCAAAAGGCGAGAGTCAAGGCCAGTGTTTATGTGTTTAGAGCAGAGCGACACATTACTGAAAACCTTGAGGAGTGTAAAACACACACAGAACACACTGCGCTGTGCACGACACTGCTCCACTGGTGTTTCAAACTAAATCAGTCAGTTTACCAGTAAAGGAGACTCAAACACTGCCAAGAGGAAGATTTGCGATTGTTTTTAAAACTCAAAGTGACTGATGCAGCATGATCATACAATATGAACATGCTAGAAATGCAATGCCTTCAAATGTTTTCACTTCCCATTTCTGGGATTAATATCAGTAGCCATGTTTCCATCCAGCTGTTCTTATGTGCATTTCTGAAATATCACATCCAAAAATGCTTGATGGAGACACCAAGATGTGCATCAATTCTCAAAACTGGCTGCACATACATCTGATGTGCAGAGCTGAGTGGAATAAACACCATACCTGATAAGAAAACAAGATGCAAACACTTTCACTGAAGAAACCCCAGCATGTGCATCAGTGAAGTCATGTGATTGGAACAGATCATGTGATGATAAAAATGTGGAAAAACAATACTCCTGAGCCTTCTGTGCATGGTCCAATCAAATCCTGGTTGCTAAAATTCACACCAACCATTATTTTAGTGTGAATCACTCAGAACACCTCAGCAACCACCTAGCAACAACTCCAAACACTTCAGCAACTACCTAGCAACCACTCAGAACACCCTAGCAACTGCCTAAAAATCACGCAGAACACTCTAGCAACCATCAAAACTGTGGCGAGCACCCTAGCAACAACCTGCCAACTGTCTAGCAACCGCTCAAACCACCGAAGTCACCTCTCAAAACATTGTAGCAACCACTCAGAACACCCTAGCAACTGCCTAGAATCCACTCAGAAACGCCTAGCAACTACCCACATCCTAGCAACAACTTCACAACTACTAACAACCTCTCACAACACTTTACCAACTGCCTACCAACCACTCAAACCACCTCTCAACAGATCCTAGCAACTACTCAGAAGACTGTAGAAACTGCCTAGAAACCACTTAGAACACCTTAGCAACCACCTAAACCCTGGCAAACACCTAACAACAACTTAGCAACCTCTCAGAACACCCTAGGAACCACCCTCCAACCACTCAAACCACCCAAGTCACCTCTCAAAACATCTTAGCAACCATTCAGAACACCCTAGGAAATCCCTAGACCCAACAGAACAGCCCAACAACCCCCTTAACACCCATCAACAACTTATTAACCATCTAGCAACCTCTCAAAAC